TGCAGTTTGGGTCATATTAGTATACGTAGATATTGATCGAAGCAAATGGACGCACACAGCGCAGATATGTAAAGCATATCCTCTTGATGGATTGAAAACCCTCTAATTAGGTCGCTTCAAAAAGTTCTTTGTTAGGATAATTAGCAGGGAGTACCCACACCCAACGGACAGTCACAAAAAAATTCTCGTCCGTGCGCAGCGCACGTTGATACTGAGACTTTAAGCAAATCGTTCTCACTATTTTGTCTGTTTTTATTAAACCTTAGTTCCAGATCCCAGGAAATCCACAAAGAAGTCATCCTAAAATATTGAGATATTCCTCGGAAACTTGACCGGACACTCGATGCTCGTTCTGTTTGTCAATTGCATACTAGTTGAAAATGAACCGCACGCAAAACATCTTTCTATATACCAGAGTTCTTTTAGGCATTTTAATAAAGGCTTTTCGCTATTATTTCTAAAATATTTGCTTATGCCTAGGAATTACGGATGCCGTCAAAAAGGATTCAGATCAAGAATATATATGTTTAAAGACCAATTAAAAAAATGTTTTTTTTTAGTTTCTGCGAGTTATATGCTTATTCACAGGGCACAGGCTTTGAGCACATGCATTGTGGTCAGTGTCATAATTACCTGATAGTGCCAAACTGAAATCTGATCGCTGCCTTGAAGGTGAGATCCATGTTTGGTTCGGTTATGCTGGCGATTTCAGTGGTTAAGGAGGATTGTTAGAATTTATCTATCCGACTGACTGATCCAAATAAGTCTTCTCTGTGACTACTCGCTATCCTTTTGGACTGCGGAATTTCTGGTTTGGCTTCAGAGTGTCCGTAGCGACACGATGTTCGATCTTTCAGCTGCTACTAATAATACACATACACAATTATACGAGTAGTTGACGGATTGTTTTTACACATTAAAGCTGTTGCTGGTGCCCTCGGTTTCGAAGGCTCCATTGGGTTCTATTTGCCTCATTTCGTTTTTAAAAATAGCATTATTTGCATAGAGGACCGACTTTTTAGACAGATAACCACCAAAGAACGGTCTGGTAAAAGCCTACCGTTTATGCTTAATATCAGCGTTACTCCTTCTACGCGTCTACCAGTACATTGCCATATATGTTTTTCCCCTCTGCTGTGTTGTTTTAGGCCGGAGAGAACATTACCCGCCGCGAGTCTGATAGCATGGCCAGGCTTCCCTTCCTCCGTAACTGGTTCCGAACGGAATTGGCCATTATCCTGCATCTTAGCAATGGCACTTTGCAGGTTCGTGTACACTTTTATTATTTTATTTTTCGTACAATAATATTTTTTTGCTGGATTTTCAGATGGAGAATTTTAGATATACTTTCCAGCTTTTATAACTAAGACTCCGTAAAGCCTTCTAAGGACTTTGCTACTTATTCTGGGAAATATTATGAACAAAAATAATGTTTAAAAGTTAACCACGGGCCACACATCAATGCGTCATGTAATCAGTCATCAGAAAAGCTAGTTAACTACAGACAGTTTTGCCTGATTGTCATAACTTTGTGAGAATGCATGTCCATGCGATTTTCTGTCGTCATACTTATACTTCTAACTAAGTTGTTTTAAGTAATTTTGACGCACTTTTCTTATAAAGGTGGTTTGCTTCGGTCGGTGTAACTTATTCTCCCTGTAGTGGTATTGCACCTCAAGCACTACCGTCGCTGCTTCGTCTGGCATCATTGCGGACAAAGCATATAGGTGGCACGGATTGACGCCGTGTCGGTAATTGCGCCCCATTCCGTCTCCAATTAGCTTTACTCGGCCTTGCCACTGGTAGGCCATGGAAGGAAGAAGGGAATAAAGCCTTTCCTGCGTGACCTTTCCTCACATGCTTTTAACCGGCCGTGGAAATCTACCCACCCTAGCTTGACAGGTCTACCTGCGAGATAACTGGGTCCTACAAATCGAAGTTTAGCTTGCAGTGACTCATAAGTACATTCCTGCGTCATTGTGAGATCAGCGTTAGTAAAAGGTCGTTCATGTGGGTTGAGATACTGATTGTTTGAGCGTCGCAGGTGATGAGACGTATCATTGTGTCTTGGGTGCAGTTGTAACTTGTGCGTGAATTGGTTTAAAGTGAAATAGACTTGAGTTCAACATCTGCCTCACACATTTCTCCCGCACACGGTATTCCAATTCAGGACGATGGAAGCTGGGCATGGGTGCCGTGACTGACAAAGCTAAATGGCTTGTCTACGTGGCCTAGTCGCTAATTCCATACAAACCTAGCTTCAAAGTAAAAAGAAACCTCTTCAGAAATTAATCGCTAACATGGAGCAACTTGGTCTATTTTTCAGGTTTATGGGCGTAGACACTTACTGCATATAAGTGAGTGTCATTAAGGCAACAATAGGAATTCCTTGCAGTTTGGCTTTCAAATAGAAGTTTCGGGTGGTCCGTTCGCTGGCAACTCTCTATGCCGGAACTTTTAGTCCATTGTGATACTTCAGAGCGCGTCATGTTAATCCTATCAGGTAAACCGATTGTAACGACTATGAATAACCTCCCCTCTTCTTTTACTAATGGCCTGCCCCATATCCGCCCGTTGACCGGTTATATAATTAGGTGCAGTAGCTAACGTAGCGTAAACCTCAGACAAAATGTACGGATTCATACGAGCTTAGTGCAACTCGGCAAACACACGTGATGAGCTCGTGGTTCCGTTTTGGTCTAAAGCGACAGTGACCCAGCTAATTTTGTGGGCCTAAGTTGCGGGACTAGCACGTTTTCGGCAAGCCTATTTATCTCAAAGTAGATATCAAAAGTATAACCATTTGCCGTAGAAGACACGGACTGGTATTAAAACCTGACGTCCTATTCCATAAAAATCCTTACTATGAGTACTTATTTTCGTGATGGAGACACATTTTCTGCGTTCTGCCCTACGACTCTTAGAAAATATGCGTATATTAATATAAGGCCTCGTTTAATGCTAAGTTTCTGCCTTAAC